AAGATCAAACCCATTACCATAGACTGGCTGACCCAGGTTGGGCGTATGCGTTTTGTGCATTTATGTGTGCGTACATGCTGCCGGGCTCTGTGGATCCATCAGTCTCCCTTCTGGAGCCGAGCTCAGGGAAGGTCAGCCTGATGGATACATCCTGACATGCACACAGCCTGTGATGTCAGCTGTGTGCATGTATCTGTGTGAGCGTATCTGCATGTGTGTGTGTGTGTGTGTGTGTGTGTGTGTGTGTGTGTGTGTGTGTGTGTGTGTGGGGGCTGGCAGGCCGGCCCAGCGCAGGCCCAGTTCAACGGAGCAGAGGGTGGAGAGGCGAACGGGGAGGGGAGTGCTCGCCTGGCCTCAGCGTCCTAGTTTGAGGGGTTTTGCTGGCAGAGGGCTGGTAAGGAGGAAGGGGGTTGGATGGCGAGGCGGGGTGAGGTGTAGGGGTTGGCCGGGCTGGCAGAGGGGGGTGGGTGAAAGGGCTGAGGTGTCGGGGGTGGGCTGGGGTGGCAGAAGAAAGGCTCCATTCATGAGTCGTGCCATCTCTGGCTCCCAAGGGGACTGGGGATCATCAATGACCAGGCCAGCTGGGAGGATGTCAGCATGCAGACTCTCTCTCTCTCCCTGCCTCGCTCCCTCTCTCGCCCTCCCTCTTTCTTTTGTCAGGGGCCAGTGCTGTCAGAGGCACTAGCCAGAACACTGAGGCCTCTCATGCACTTGGGTACCCATTCAAATCCACTGAAAGCCTCTGGCTAGCCGGTGGTTTGCACACCGTCTGCACTGTATGTGACATATATGGTCTGGAGCAAGAAGCTCAGCACCACCCTCAGAGAGTCTGTGGTAGCCATACCATCTGGAGATAAGATAGGTGGGGTGCAGCTTACGGAGTGATGCATCAGCATTGTCAAATACTCGAATGGTGTATCCAGTTCTGGAGATCACCAGATGAGAGGAATGTGGTTTTCAGCCAGCATGCCGGTGTGGAAGTCTCTAGATGTTCCTTTTTTTTTTTAACCACCGTGAGTTTCATGATTGTGCCTCTGACTGAAATGTCTAAAACAAATCGAATGGATTGCCATGAAATGAGAATACCTTAAGGTCCATCTCAGGATAAAGTAAATCATTTTGGTGGTTGTCCAACTTTTCATCTGTTGCCATGACTCACAGAGTTTTCATTTAGTTTGGAACAAAGAGCATCAGAGCTAATGCCGTGTCCATTAGTATCAGCTGCACTGTGCTTAGTGCTAACAGCATGCTAAGATGCTTGATTATGATGGTGAACTTGACATTGTTTCGTATGCTATTATTAAAACCACCAGGCCTGAGTGTAACCTCACAGAACCCCGAGCACGGCTGTGTGAACTATGTTCAGTCTTTCACCCACAGAGAGACAATAACTGACACATCTGTACATTTTAGAGTCATTCTGTTGCCCTTTTTGTTCCTTAGGTCTATAAATGAGTCATAAAGTGCCTCAACTTTTTTTCAACCGAACAGTCGAAAGCCAGCACTGTGACCACTGAGCACCTGGCCGCTTGTGAGCGTTTTTACCTACAGTGGAGATGAACTGTGGCCCTCCTGCGTAGCGCTGAAAACTCAAATGATCCTGCATGCATGAGTTGTCATCTCTTGTGCGCGAGTGCTTTACAAAGGAAAGGGGGACAGGAAAGGAGTAAGGTTTGTGAGCTGCGCAGATGTGTGCGCTGTTTATCACTGCCAGAGAAAGGCCTGCATCAGCAGCAGCTGTGGGGTGCTTTGCATGCAATGGCAGAGGTGCATTGGTAGGGGCAGATTTGCATTTGTGGTTTCATATCACGAGCAACGATGTTACTCCCTCTCTCTTCCTTCCTCCTTCCCTCCCTCTCTCTCGCTCTGTGTCTCTCGCTCGCTGTTTCGCTGATCTGGAGGAGCTTTTTGTGAGAGGCGGAGGAGCCTAAGTAGAGCATTGGAGCAGAACCCAGGAAGGTTCGGGCTGAAACGGATCCAAGCATAACATCAACACCAGCAAATCTCTCCATCACACAAAGGGACAGAGTCCGTGCTGCCGTCACAAACAGCTACACATGGGTGCATACAAATGCTGGATAAAGAGCTAAACAAATAGCGCTAATTTTACTCGTATGAAAGTACGGTTTGTTGAATTTGGCCGTTGTAAAAGATGAATATCAACGTCAGCCGCACTTTGCTTCTCTGTGAGAGCGTGTGACTTCTGTACAATGATGGTGATTGATGCTAAAAGTTGTGTGACTGTGAAAAGGGTCAAGTTGAGGGTCTTGCGGTCAGCGTGTGCCCAATAAAGCAGCAGTGATGCAGAGAAGCATCTGATGAAAGGCTTTCCTGCGTCTTTCATCTTTACAATGCTTTTTGATGGCGAGAACTTCCTCAACAACAGCCTGACATTGTGAGACCAGCATCCACTTTTTGCAGCTTGGAACGGCTTTTACATATTTTTGGTTTCTCAAACTTAAATGCGGGTTTTGGAAGGCTCATACTCATGCAAATAAGAGGGTATATGTTTGCTGCCTTTTTGTGTGTAGGGATATGTGAATCCTATCTATATGACAAATGCACCACAGAGCTGCTGTGTTGGTTTCATTATGTTGTAAACAAAAATGCATAGGTGATAATAATGTGCTGCCTTCCTGCTTCTATTATCAACCTCTGCACAGACAACATGATAAGCAAAGAGCAGAAAGTAGAAATGATGAAACAGGAATATAATCCTCACAAGCCTGTGTTTGTGCTGCTTCTCTGTTTTTCAGGTAGTTTTTTGCCATGATAGTGTTTATAGCAACTTATATTCAGTAAATACTTAAAACTGACCCAGAATCTGTACAACAGGATGTTTAAGTGAGTTCAGGAGCATGTGCTCATGGATTCATCTTTAGCTGGAGGTGGAAGAGCTGCAGGTAGAACACGTCTCCTAGTTTTTTGGTGTGTCGGTGCGCCCGTCCACATGCTCTTATTGTTCCCTCTCCCCCGTGTCCTCAGTGAAACTCCAGCCAATCTAACAAGCTGTTCAAAGAGGTTCACGCTGACCCCGGTCCGGGTTCCCATCTCCTCCCTTTTTCTACCTTCAGCAGACCTCGCTGTTCCCTCTGATATCACCTCCTAGCAGGCTCCTTTATGCCTCTTTGCCAGCCTTTTGACAGATGTCTCAGCTCATTGTGTGTGATGTTGTCTTTGTACTGGTGTGTAATGGTGCCCTAAGATACTGTTGCCGGAGTGCTGTCTGGGTGTCTGTTCCACTGCTGCCCTCGAGACCCCAATAAGCACCTTCGGTGACAGCAGCTCCTCACTGAGCAAAGCACTGCTCCCCCCACATTTGCTTCATTTGTGTCTCCTCTTCTCTGGAACTTTGTCTTCCTCTTGCTCCTGTTTTGTGTCGTGTCTCATTGTCCGTCCTTAGGGTGCCTTCTGCCTCTATACATTAGCCATATCTGCGTGCACAATGACTCCCCGGTGCCCTCTTTTCACTTTACCCAGCATCAGCCAACAATGAATAGGGGGCTACAGTTGGAAATTTGCTTTAAAATATGTGAGGTATGTTCATTCACTCTCCTCCAAGCCCCCCAGCTGCCCTCAAACCACTCACCCATTGCCCCCCTACAGGTCTATGAAGTCCTATAGCGTCCCCCCATGCTGTTTTCCACATTCTCTGTTTGCATGGGACTTACAGTTCCAGCAGGCCCAAGGCCAGACCCCCTCATTTCTCTCCACGGCCAAAACCCTGCCAGAGCCCGCCTAAGCCTGAGGGGGGTGGGGGGCTGGTTGCCATGGTCACGGCAATCAGCATTGTGAACTTGAAACTTTCCAAGATGGGCCTCGGGCTCCTGCGTGGCTCTGTGTCTTTCTGTTAATATGTTATTAATGGAAGGAGAGGCGTTTCAATTTCAGCTGCTCACTGTTGATTTGAGTTTTGTGGAGCTAAGTGACTGTTGTTTCCACCAATAGGTAATATGTTACAGCCCTCCCTTCCCCTCAGTGATGACAGCCAGAGAACCTTTTGAAAGCTCTGGATTGTTAGCAAACAGAATCGCTGTGTTCTTGGTTATTTTAAGCGCCTTCAGAGATGTGAGCTCACTAGAAGTGTATTAGTCTTTCTGACAGGACATAAAACGTGTTGAATGATATTTGGGAATTGTTTGGGACTGCAGCGCTGCTCAGATAACTGAAACAATATTTCTTCTTTTTCATCAAATCAGAGATATTTATCTGCTCTACAACTGAAACAGTCTTTTAGTGTTTTGCTTTATGTGTGTGTGTGTGTGTACGACGAGGAAAGGCTTGTTTGGAAATTAAGTCCAGGCATTTTTAACTTGACTGTAGTTTCCTGAAAGCCTGGATGAAGCCTATTGCACGGTCTGGTGGATATTTACTGCATGTTGGTTGTGTTTTTCGTGGCATAATTGCTTCCATATTCCACTGTGGCTGTGAACTGTGAAGCGTCTTTAAAGAAACCCGTCCTGCCTCGACCCGTTCGCCTCGTCTGACCGCCAGAGATGGTGATCACATGGTTATCAATCAGCTACCTGCCACCGTGAAAACTGCCTAAACAAGAGATACGGAAAAAAGAACACCTCTGCCGACTCCAAATTTGGCGAAAATAAATCTGAAGGCTACATCAAGAGATCAGCGTTAAGACAACAGAACAGCCTTCAGACGCTGCAGATTAATTGAATTGGTGCGAAACTGTGGAGTGTAAAAAACTGTGTGTGTGCGTGTTGACTAATTAGACCGTGTCGGCTTTGGGAACGTGGCTCAAATTTGTGAACAGTCTCCAGCTCCCTCCTACATGTGCAGCGTGGATTATTTCCTCCTCTGACCTGTGTGTACTACGCTGGGCTGCTCTCCATCACAAGTGTGAAGAGAAAACTCCTCACAAGGCTTTATGTTGAAAACTGCCACCGGTGCAATATGCTTTTTGTTTGTTTTTTTTTTGGTCAGCTAATAGATTTAGAGAGAAAAACCGTCTAATTTCTGTGTTGCTGTGTTTTAATCCACAGGGCTCCAGAGATCATCCTGGGCCTGCCGTTCTGCGAGGCCATCGACATGTGGTCCCTGGGCTGCGTAATCGCCGAGCTCTTCCTGGGATGGCCCCTCTACCCCGGAGCCTCAGAGTACGATCAGGTAACACATGATGACTGCCTGCACCTCCACAATTGACCTCTGAGCAGCTCATGATTGCAAGTGTTGGGTGCCAGCGTAGCCACAAATTCTTTCGGTTTTGTTTATGTGTATGCATGCATGCGTGTGTGTGTGTGTGTAGGTGTGTGTGTGTGTGTGTGTGTGTGTGTGTGTGTGTGCTCCTGAGTGAGCTTGGGAGGGTGGGACGCCTCTCCCTGAAAATCCCCCTGACAGCCCCTGATGATTCTTGCGCAGCCTCCCTGTTTATCTGAACAGATGCCACGGAGCCACTTGTCCAATTAGTGCAGCCCCTGTGCTCCAGAGCAAGACATTGTCGCGTTCCTCTCTCTCTATCAGTCAGATGAAGCTCAGTGGGGAAACCTTGAGCAAGTTTTTGCTCCATCTCTGAACGAGCTTGTCTGATTTTTTTTTTTTTTTTTTACCCACAAGCCCAAAAAGTTAGCATGTGTCGTTTACAAGTCTCAAATCAGTCGTAGACTCTTAAGCTGAGGTCATGTTTGGCGGCTGTGCGTATTCCTGCCATATAAATCTGGAGTACTTAACGTCAGCCTAGATTTTCAAACTGCCAAAAGAACATCCATCTTAAAGTTTTAGCCTTTTTTTTTTTGTCATCAGCGGGAAAGATTCACAGTCCTCCTCAATTAAGCACGGCTCATGGTTCAATGATGCATGTGGAAATCTCAAAAGCATTTTCTCGCCTTCTGTTTCTTGCAGATCCGGTACATCTCACAGACACAGGGTCTTCCTGCAGAGTATCTGTTGAGCGCAGGGACGAAGACCACCAGGTTCTTCAACAGAGATCCAGACTCGACGTATCCTCTCTGGAGACTTAAGGTACAGCTGGAGCGATGCGTCCACCAACACAAACACCAGGCAGGTAGCATCGAGTACATCCTTCCAGGAGCAGGTGGAAAGGCTTTCCCTGCAAAAGCTGCAGCTCATATTCCACAAGCCGCTCCGTGTGAGGCATTGACGGCCCTGTTGCTGATTATAAACAAAGTGAGAGGGTATTGAGAACCAAATGGATCTGTGTGAGAGGATTTGGCAAATGAAAACCCAGCCTGATGAATCTAGCTCGAGGGGTGCCTGCTCTAACCTCCGCTCACTGTCCCTCTATGTAGGCCACTCAATAAGAAGCTCGGCTCCTTTCTTTTTTACCCTCATTAACTTAATTTGAACTTTTGTATGCCACACAGAGATTTTGCACATTGAGTTCCTGACTGCATTGTGCTGCAAATACTGATCCTTCTCTGCAGGGTATGGGGATGTTTCCACTACATCTGCTCCGTCTATGCTCGGCATTGATCGAGCACATTTGTTTCTTGTGAATCCCAGTAACATGCCACAACAGCTGACAAAAACGGGCGATGCTGTTTGGCCTTTTAATGATGACATAGAGTGCATAGTGTTCAAGTCAGACAGCTGCCCATTAACCTTTTAGCAGTTGTTGGGTAAAAGCAGTGCAATTTTTTTGTCAAGTTTTTTGCTTAAATTTATACAAAAAAAATAAAGCTGTATGATGCATTGGCTGTTTTTAAAAGCACATGGTTGTCAGCTCAAAGACGAGTGTTTCTGAGCTCCTGACAATAAGAGTTGAAAGGAGCATTGTAGGGCAGACACAGAAATGGATTAGTAACTTGCACTTGACACCGCTGCTGTAATTCTAGTTCTCTAGTGTCTTTGGTATGTAGAAAATCAAACATCAAGGCACCCTGAACACTGTTTTTTTTTTTTTTTTTCCGCTCTGAAGAGTGACTGCTCAGCTTTAATTTGACCTTGCCATGTGTTTCCATGTAGCGGCAGCTGCATCGCTTTGCTGACTGTAATTAAACATATTGGGTGTTTAGTCAGGAGGTTTCTATAGTCGGTTCTGTTTGGTGTAAGAAAGTGATCGTATGTTTATACTCGTCTGTGCATTTCCATGAAGTCAAGTTCGTGTGCACCAGCGACGGCAAACTGTGTGTGTGTGTGTGTGTGTGTTTGTGTGTGTGCGCTCTGTGTGTCGTCTCAGTGTCGGTGTGATGTAGTGTGCGCCTCCATATGCAGCCTCGCCATCTTTGCTGGCTGTTAGATGAGTATTTGTGTGCTACCCCGGAGTTGCTCGGAGGGTAAGCCGAGTCCTGCTGCACGTCAACAACAAGAGGCTGTAATGAGCCAAATGTAAATAGTGCGTTTCCAGAGGGGAAGTGTGACGGGATTTGAGAGGAACATCTGCTTCTTGTCTCCCGCAGACTCCAGAGGACCACGAGGGTGAAACAGGGATCAAGTCCAAGGAGGCTCGCAAGTACATCTTCAACTGTTTGGATGATATGGCGCAGGTATGCTGTCTCACAAAAAAAAACCCCAAAGTATCACAAAGCACAATTCTTCCCCTTCCCACAAAATCACACAACAGATGCATTACGTGGTTTTGCTGTCTTTTTTACTTCAATCACATCCGCCTGTCTGCGATTTGAAGCATCTTTGATGGGGCTGCTCAGGTCCCGGGCCGGTTTGATCCATCACATCCCAAGAATTATCTATCAGATATTTGAAATCCTTTAAAATATTTATCCTGCCAAGGTCTGATCTCCAGCCGCAGTGTTCCTCGTCTGCTATACACAATTTTACAGAGTGAAATGAAAGCATCTGTTCACTGGAACCCCTCCTCAACCCTGCCTCTGCTCTTCATTCTGCTTAACCGCTATCTAATAACTTGCAGGCTGACATTTGAGCCGAACATGTGGTGAGGCTGGTTAACAGGTTTGATATGTTCAGTTTGCTTTTTTATTTAAGCTGCAGTGTCTGTTGTGGCTATGTCTTCACTTTGTAGATCCACACTACATGTAAGCATGTAGAGGGCACGTCTGCTCCCCCGTCCTTCTCCCTCACTGAGACACATACATGCACTCAGTCCAGAAGGTTCCAACTAGTGTTTCAGAGCAGCTCAGTGGGGCCATGTTTTGTCTGCATGACTCAGCTGGTTAGCGTCTCTCTCCCTGCAGTCCTGCATGTCACCTGTGCAAAGAGATCTTGCATAACCTCGAAAGAGAAAGACTTAGAGCTTATATGTGGGAAAAGCACTGCAGCTGGACATGGCTGCATGTAGTGTCGCCTTCCTCCATGACTCAGAATGAATCCCTGAGCGCTGGGAAAGTTCACATGTAGCCATGACATTTTGTTAGGACGTGCCTGACAGTGAGTGATAGGGAGTGTTGTTTTGTTCGCCCTCACTTGGCCAAATACTGGTTCTGCTGGCAGTTATGGCACCAGTGATGAAAAATTACCATGATTTTCCCAAGACCCTTTTGCCTTTCCTCTGACAGTACTTTCTTGTGATCATGCCCCTTGATCATGTCTCCTGATAATGACTAGCCAAGAGATACGAGTTAAGCATGTGGGGTTTTCTTTTTTTTTTGGATTATGGTCATCTTGATTTCCAACCAGTTGCAGCCTCTGGAGACTGTCCATGTGGATACGCAACACATGTAGCTACTTAAGTGATGGAGACAATTATGGCTGTCCAGTAGTGCCCAGGGCCACTGTCAGGCCTGTCTGGAATAACATGCTGCCGGCTGGGACAAGATAGTATCGCTTTCTGGGCTTGTTGAATTTACAGTTACCACACACACACACACACACACACGAAGCACAGAGTTTAATGAAACCAACCTGCACTGGTATGATATCCCCTGGGTCATCGCTGTCTTGTATGCTTCAAGCTCTGTGTCCTGTCTTCCTCTGTTGCAGCCAGACTCAGATTACTACAAAAAACAGAGGAGACGGAGCAGAGCTACAGAGCCTTAATATGGGAGAAAACTGCCTATTTTGCCCCATCTCGCTGTCCTGACCATATAAACAAGTCAGCATTGTGGACATCTGTCTCTGCGTGTATAATGGATGATATAGCTGAAGGCCCTGCAAGACAGAGGGGCTGGGTGCCAGGAAGAGATAATGAACCTCCTTTCAGTCGTGGGAAATGTGGGGAGGCTTTAGTCACAAGTATATCTAATTTGAGTAAATCAGACACCAACTTACAGCAAATGTAGGACCCCGCTAGGGGCCTGATGTAGATGGAAGGAAGGCCGGAACTGCTCGAAAATGGATTCACTTTGATCTGCAATCCTTCAGTGTGTGTGTTGATGGGGAGTGCAGCCGTGGCAGGAAGAGCTGCATGGTCTTCCCCCAGTCTTTCTTTTAATATATACACTTTAAAACACACTTTACTTCGGCTGCACTTCCTACTTAAAAACTGAAGTGTTAAAGTTACAGATGACTGGGAACATGTTGTACAGCTATGTGGAGGACAGGCCTGCATCCTGCATGCCTTACGCCACATCTCCTGAGGCATATCCCAATCTGTCCCACTGCTCGACATCTGCCGTCCCTGTTCTTCCTCCAGAGTGGCATGTCAGTCCTCCTCGCAACACAGATGTGGTTCCATAAACAACCACTGGCATGCAACATGCCATGTTAGCTGAAGCCTCTTGTTTTTATGTTTCTAAGTGGCCATTTTCATTCTTATTGAGAGAAAATGAAGCCAGAAGATATCTTTCCTATCTGGTAATTTCACATATCTTAATTTAGCGGGCGATAGGAAAATTCTCTCTCCTCATCGGGCTTCTTTTTTATCCCGTCCGATTGTTGTGGCACCAAACTGTGTACATTTCGCCAAAGTCATCTCCTCCACTAGCAGAGGACAGTGTGATTATTTCTCACCTCATTCTGCAGATTATTCCTTTATCACAGCCAGTGGAGATGGCAAGCAGAGAGGAATGGTTACAGAACCTGAATAACCTGCATAGAGAAAGAGAATTGAATCAGATTTGCAGTGTTGACTGGCAGAACATCTGATAGCCCCTGGAGCAGGCCCACAGATAAGCGTAGCGTCTTTATGAAAAACAGGCCGGCTACCACTGCATGGCAGTCACAATAAACAAGGCTGCCTGTCTGCTGCCACTGTCCCTGTCTCTGTCCTCAGCCAGCCTGACACTCTGCTTGTTCGCTTAAAAACCTGACCGGCTAGATCCTGACCTTGTCCCACTTCCTTCATTCCTCACCCTAAAAGTAGACCTGAACGTCAGAATTAGTCCACTGCTCAACAAATAATTTCCTGCTAGCTATGTAGCTTTGCATTAAAGCAGAAATCTGCTGCTTTTCCCAGTATTTATCCACAGCCTAAGCCGCAATGTTTATTGCAGATGAAGCAACACGATGTTCCAAGGCAGCTTCCCAGAATCGCCTCAGAACATATTTAGGTTAAGTTGTCCCATGTCAGCTTTTTCAGAGGTACTCGCAAAATGGTGCGCTGTGTGAAAGGGCTTTTTAATGACTAGCCAATGGCAGTGTTTATTGGGTTCGTGTTTTCTGTTTGTTTTCACATCGCAGGAATAGATAAAAATCTCAGCGAAGGCGCCAGGAGATATTTCAAGTGGTGCTATGAATACCAGTGCAAATGTTTATAATGTCACTAAGGTGCAAGGTTATCAGTAGGCTCTGTGACACGTACACTGACACCCGAACTTGTGAAGCCTTGTGAGTATTAATAGGTCCTTCTATGGGAGTACGCTGTGGGAGAGATTTATCTTCCATCTGCAGGAACATTAGAGGCTTTGAATCAGCCACTGAAGAAGTGTTTGAAATGCTAAGTTGCATGCTTGTTTGTTTTGTGCCCTTAGGTGAACATGACGTCAGATCTGGAGGGGAGCGACATGCTGGCAGAGAAGGCCGACAGGAGGGAGTTCATCGACTTGTTAACCAAGATGCTGACCATTGACGCAGACAAGAGGATCACCCCCATCGAAACGCTGAACCACCCCTTTGTTACGATGTCACATCTCCTTGATTTCCCTCACAGCACACAGTACGAACTCAACAGGCCCTTCTGTTGTTGTTTATATAATTATCGTTTTTTTGAACGGTGAAGCAGCATCTGCTACTGTCATAAGACACGCCGCTCATCCCTTCCCTCTTTTGGTCTCCCTCACTCTCTGCAGTGTGAAGTCGTGCTTCCAAAACATGGAGATCTGTAAGCGTCGCGTCAACATGTACGACACAGTCAACCAGAGCAAGACGCCCTTTATCACCCACGTGGCCCCCAGCACCTCCACCAACCTCACCATGACCTTCAACAACCAGCTGAACACTGTGCACAGCCAGGTAAGGTTAAAAACACAACCTTAAACATCTTCATTCATCAGTATGCCATGAGGCAACCGCTGCTACTGAACTTTTATGCAGTCAGATGCAAGTATGTAAATGAGCTGAGCTGTGGTTTATTACATTTGCATGGTAGCAAAAATGGTATATAAAAAGATCTACTTCACACCCGTGCTAATTGAGTATTTATATATGTCAGAATGAATAATTAAAGCAGAGCAAAAATGTGATCAGTGGTGTTTTAACCGAATGCTGGTGAAACAGCGAAGCAGCCTGCGAGTTGCTGCCTGTGCCTTTTGTTCTGTTGTTTTCTGTCCATTCTTGCTGTTTGTCTGCACGTTTCCATGCTTACTGGCCTGCCTCTCTGTCTTGGTGCATGTATATCTGTCTGCCTGCATTTCTGTCTGTGCCCCAGGTCCTGTGGGATTGTCACAAAGTGCTGATTACACACATGACAAGCCCCACTTCCTGCTTGCCTTGCATTCTGGGGCTTTCAGGCCTTAAGAATCCCTTTACCAGGCTTCCTCTCTTTTCCCCCTCCTCTCGCTCCTGTCCTCCTCTGTCTTCTCTTCTTTCCTCCCATTTCCCTGGGTTGAGCCTGTGGTGCTTTACCGCTCCGTTCCCGTACAGTCTGTGAATCGAAACTGCTGACTTTTGGCTTCTGCCGGAATCACCGAGCGTCTGGTTGCAAGGTTTTCCAGATTGTGCTTAGTTACAACTCCTGCTCTCTCGCCCACCCCGCTCTTTAGTAAACAGAGTTCTTTATCACCAACTATATCGAGCCAGCTCACACTGTGTAGCATGCGACAAAAACCCCATCTTGCTGTGATTTAAATGGATTAACATTCCCTCAGCTTGTCTTTTCTGCGCCCGGCTCTCAGGGCATATAGACAGACTTAAGTTAGTGATTTATTCAACTCGATTCATTTGCGAGGCTGGAATGCATCTTTGGCTTGTATTTTGCTGCTTCCGTGCTTGTTTATGATGAATGCCACAGTGCCATATTGATTATGTTCTCTCTCCTGGTGTTCATCGAACACGCTAAAGAGAGCAAATGAAAAATGAAAGCGCTGTCTATGTATCCCCCCCCTCCGCCCCGCCGCCCCGACGTACACCTAATGAAAAGGGCTAAAATTAGACAGTGTCTCGTGGAGCAAACACTACTTACAAGCTGAGCAAATGGTGTCTCTTAAAAGCATTTGTTTGTATCTAGGATGCTCCCAGGCGGTCTCGGTATTCCACATGTCTTATTAATGGTCAAGACATGCTGGAGTTACCTCAGCTTACGTAATTATACGATGACTGTTGCCTGTGAAATATTACTCCTGTCAGGCATAATTGATTTGGAGCCCAGATAGTGAAGCTGTGACATGAAATGTCAAGTTTTTGCAGCAGCTTATTATAACGGCTGATTATTATTCTGTAACATTTACATTTAAACTGAATTATAATGTGATCTCCTTATAACTTTAACACTCGTCATTACAGTGAAGTGATAATAAGCGGGACGGTTCTGCTCCTGTGTGGTTTAGGAGTAAAGACTGTATATGTTCTGTCCGGCAGCACTTTGTTCTGGTCGAGGTCTGTGTGCCGGTGAACGCTGTACATGATCAGTCTAAATGTGCTGATTTTTCTCATTGATGGTTGATTATTCTTAGAATCGTAGCATTGATTGCGTATCTGCTCACATTCTTTCTCTCCCTCTAATTAATCAAATCAACAGTCCGCATATTTTAAGGCTTGTTCAAATCATTCACCCAATTTTCTCATTCTGCTATCGGCTTTCATCATCGCCAGGTGCCCCTCTATCCATCTTCTTTTGATCTGGTGGTTGTTTTGCATCTTTTATGTCTGCATTGTTTTGTTAGAATTGTGTTGTTTTTCTGTTTTTGCCGTACCTTCCCTCCTCGGAGCGCTTCCGCTTCCCCGTCATTCCCATCACTACCTCCACTCTCATGATTTTTATTTTGATCCCATCATTCCTTTAGGCCACCAACCTGGCTCCCTCCTCCACCAACAATGCCACCCTTTCCTTTGCAAGTCCTGATGTCTCCATACTAAACTACCAATCTGCACTCTACCAGCCCTCCGCTGCCTCCATGGCAGCCGTGGCCCAGAGGAGCATGCCCCTGCAGCCAGGGGCTCCTCAGCTCTGCGCTGCCCGGCCTGACCCCTTCCAGCAGGCGCTCATAGTCTGCCCACCTGGTTTCCAAGGTAAGGAGGTCCTACCAGCCACTGTGCTTTAGCATAAATAGGAATAGAATGGGATTTCTAGTCATCTATGCAAAACACAAGACCTCAGCTATGAACACCTTCACTAGAGCTGCTTTGATATGATGTGATATATAAACACAATTAAGGAGCATTTATCTAGTCCCATACATAATGTGACAGTTTTGGTTCTATCTCTGCACGCACACAGTCCTCTTCTCTCTTTTTTTTTGTTTTTTTTTGCGAGCTTTTTGTCTTTTTGTTGTGCAGCACCCGACAGCAGTGTCAGTCATGCCATGCAAACTGTGATTCATCGATAACTTGAGGCTATCAATCATTTGAAAAGAATTTTAATATCTTTGCTGTTATTCTATTTTCCGTGGCTATTGTTTTTGTTTTTGGGGGTTTTTTTCTAAGCGGGGTTGCATATATTCAAACATGGCAGAGAGCTTGTAGCATCTGTTGAATGGAGATAAACTGCTGTGCATATATAACACATTATCTGATCTGTTTGAGTTCATTCTACAGATACTGTAGTGATAGTGTTCATAGGTGACAGATGTGTTTGTGTGCATGGCGGTGGGGTGTGTGTGTGTGTGTAGGTGTGTGTGTGTGTGTGTGTGTGTGTGTGTGTGTGTGTGTTGGGGGGGGGTGTGTGACGTCCGTGCTTATTTGTTGACATCCTCCGTGCATATGCTTTATTTATGCACAGGGCTGCAGGCTTCCCCTTCCAAGCACACCAGTTACTCTGTGCGGATGGAGAATGCTGTTCCCATAGTGACGCAGGCCCCTGGTGCCCAGCCTCTGCAGATTCAACCTGGCCTCCTTACACAGGTAGGAAGAGGCTCGAGTATCATAGAAAATGAGCTGCTAGTTATTTGGATCTTAACAATAACAGTGCCTGTCAGGAACATTTCTGAACCTTGAACTGCTCGCATTCAAACAAAGCTCTCCGCGCTGGTTTTTTTCATGAGCCTTCACTAAGAATAGTATCTATCGATGGAGGATGGAAATCACTCGATGTTCGTGACCCTGCCCCTGCTGGCAGCTGTTTTTTCCTGAGTGCATTCAGGCAGGCTTTCCTGTGCTCCCTGCCTTTCTCTATCTCTCTCTCTCTCTCTACTTGTACTGTCTCCCCTCCGCCTGCCCCCTCTGCTGCCCTGCTCTCCTGAAGGCTGAGGCTGCCACGGTCTGATGCACTCAAAGGCAGGAGCCTTTCACACAGAGAAGGCCTTCACTGGAGCCTGCACAGTGGGGCCAGAGCTTTAGCTGCTAATATACAGTTGTTGGAAGTAACAGAGAGTGACTGTGCATCACTCTCTCTGCACACACACACACACACACACACACACACACACATAGAGACTGTAGACCACTTCCATTGCCACACCACCTCTTTCCCTATGGAAATTTCCATGAAGGCTTTAAATATCCCTGAGAATCCAGGGAGTTTGAAGCACTCCCTTATCTCCAGTTAATCATGCAGTAGGCAGGCAGGCAGGCAGGCAGCAAAGCTCTGTGTGTGTGTGTGTGTGTGTGTGTGTGTGTGTGTGCACATGCCTGTGTTTCTATGGTGGGTTAATCTGTCAGATACCAAATGGTGATTAGCTCCACGGCTGCTTCCAAGTCAGGCGCTCCAAATTACAGGCCTCAGAGGATCCTCGGAGGTCAAGGGAAGCTTGGATGAGGCTCTACATGACCAGAAGACTGACAGCATCACCAGATCCAAAGGATGTGATAGATCGAACAAAGGGAAAATAAAATCTAATCTCTGTGTTAGTGAGGAAAATGTCAGTTGCAATAATTAATATATAAAGAGCGGATCACGCGTTGCTGCCGTGCTCTGCAGGTGTTCGCTGTAACTTGTGTCTGCACACATGTTAAACAAAGACAGGCAATAGTTAACATAAGCAGATGGTTTATATAGGCCAGCGAACAGCTCACCTAATAACTGGGTGTGTGGCATGTGTGTTTCTCCGTGTTTATTCCTTTAATGTGGGAGGTCTCACAGGCTTGACTGAGTCGTTGTTTGCCTCTTGGATGCCTTCTCCCCACCTGTGACTTCATCCACCCACCGCTCGCTGTCACCCAGGCACCCTTTGCTTGCCTCGGACCCATGCAAGCTTTAGCCCCGAGCCACCTGGGTGTGAGGAGAGAGAGAGAGAGAGAGAGAGAGAGAGCAGAGCGAAGGAGGCTCCAAGCAGGGAGGCAGGGAAACCAGCGGGACCTTTATCTGGAGCAGGAATGCAGAAAATGTGGAAACAATTGGGGAGTGAGAGCTGGGGCTTTGAAAGCCCCGAGGTGACAAAGGGTTTTCACCCAGGGAGTGTAGGTCGAGGTGGGAGGCGGTGGGCTGCTGATAGTGATGGTAGGCTCTGAGAAGAAAGAAAACGGCCTCTTAACTGGGTTACCATTTCAGGGCAGACAGGCTGGTTACACAACGCAGACGCCGAGCGAGAGAGGCATGTAGAGTGCCAGGAATGGAGATAGAGCGAGGAGGAGCAGGAGATGGATGGATGTATTAGAGGCTCTTAATGGCATGTTGATAAAAGGCCTTGGATGTGGTCTTGGATGTAAAGATCATCTCCAACTCCAGAATGTTCCATTAGAGATGTCAGTCATCAGCACACAGACGAGGCAGCGCTGCTACTCTGCAGATGCCCCCTGCAGCACTGGACTTTGCAACCTGCCTCAAACAGAAAAAAAACAATTCAGCTTCCACAATCCTGCAGTGAGACTACAGAGCAGGACAGTCACTTTGTGTGAGAATGTAATGGAAATAGACAGAGCAGAGCGCACGCGGATATAGAAATAAAGGTTAAGATAAAGTTGAAAGATAAAGGTAAAAGAAAAATAACATTGCCACATGCACAGATTAGCTGCTTTGCATTTTGCACGGTGCCTCTCTTTCTCCCTCTCTTTTCTCCGTCTTTCTCTGCCTCTATTTAAACGCGTATGTGCTGCAGCACATACTGATGCCGTTGTAAATAGATGTGCAAATGGTATTAAAGGAACAATTCATTAGCCCTGACATTAAAGTGCTAATCAATACAACTGCATTAAACTATTAGGGTTACACACACAGTCGCACACAAACGTGTTCAGGCATGCATGCACACATACTCATCTTGGCACATCTCGGGCCAGATTCTGCCTGATCGTCCTCCGTTCTGCATCACAAATACAAAGTAGCCTCTTTGAGAGCGGCTTGAATAGGCCTACGAATTTAATTAGACCATAGGTTGATTTGACTCAAGTCAAACACATAATCACAGTAACACCGCACACACACACACACACACACATACACACACACACACATGTGCACGCGCTCACTCACTCATACACAATGAAAGGAGTTGCTGTACATCTTTATTAAGTCCTGGCCTTATCTCTTTTGTCGATGGATGTCTCCTTGAAGCTGGCGGAGTTCATTTTACATGCCCAGCAGCCAGTCTCAACCAGCTGTTGTGCACTTTTGAAAAGACGCTGGAATTGGTCCCCTCAAACTAATCAGCGGAGATTTCTTTGTTCATGCATTTACGATGTTTGAACAAAAAGATGACAAAAAAAACCAAAACATAATCTCCGGCAACTTTGCGCTGCTGTGACAGACTTCCTAAAATAAAAATGCGTAGTTTGAATGTTTCATTACGTGGCAGCTCACTGCTTTCTGTGTCTCCTTTTTCTGACCTTTAAATCTCTGTTTATCCCCCATCTGTGTTCTCCTCCTTCAGCAGGCCTGGCCCAGCGGCACCCAGCAGATCCTGCTGCCTCCAGCCTGGCAGCAGCTCACCCACACCTCAGTCCAGCATGCCACTGTCATCCCCGACTCCATGAGCAGCACACAAACTCTTGCCAACTGGAGGTGAACAACACAGCTTTCTTACTCTTTTTTTTTCCTTCCTCTTACTGTGATTGTGGAGAGCATGGAACACTGTGGCCCGTGGTATTTGAACCTACAGTTCCCTGAAGGATTTAGCTGGATAAACAAATCTAATAGGCTGACATGTGTTATTTTAAAGTCTTCAAAACAAAGCACTTTGTCAAATCAAGTTTATATACATAATAAAAACAGTCAGGTCACTTCAGATGAATCGTTTTCAGAGGCCAGAAATGGTTTATGGTCAGAATGTGCTACAGAAAGATGGCATGACGTGAGACTGATTGACTGGGAGCCGGTCCCTTCCTGACAACTTGTCCTTTATTTTCAATGAATCACAGTCTCCAAATGAACACTGGTGCTTTTATAAGAGCAGATTTACCTCAGGGAGATGGAATATATGTACATGTGGAGACATCATGTAGAGTATAGCCTGTCACAGCGAGGACTTGATAAATGGATGGATAGATGGGAGAAGGCAATCTGCGGGGAGATAAGGAGGAAGCGGCTCTATAACGTGCATGTGTGGAGGGGCTGCCGGGGCCATGTATGCTCGGATTCATTCGGAGCTGTCCATCTGTGACAAGACACCTCCCTCCCCGTCTCTCCCTCCCTTCCTGTCCAGTGGCAGCTCTGTTGTCCTCAGAGAGACGATTGGTAAAGTGTCGCACTTCCTCTGCAGAGCTATCGCTCCACAGCTGCTGGTGTCAGCTCCTCTGCCCTCCCTCTTTGCTCTATCCCTCACTTATTCCCTCGCCTCATTTCCATAGAAAAGTTAGCTGCTGCCTCCTGCTGGCCTCTGTGGGAACTGCTTGTCCAACCTTCTCTATCCTCCACTAATGTTGGATTTGACATACTACATATATCAGTGCATTTTCCAGTATTTCTGTGCGTTGCGGCTTCACCTGCGGGCGTCTTTCATTGCTTTTGAATTGTGTTAACATGAGATTGTGTTGTGTTGCAGGAATTCCCACCCTCATGGCAGCCATTATAATCCCATCATGCAGCAGCCGGCCTTGCTGGCTGGTCACGTCACGCTCCCATCCAACCAGACCCTCAATGTGGGAGTGGCACATGTTATGAGGCAGCCGTCAACCAATAACAACTCCTCTTCCAAAAAGAACAAACAGCACCAGATGTCTGCCAGGTAAACTATAAATCATCATCCCGGAGACTGAAGATCATCACAATAGGTCACCGGTGTTTTTTTTTTCCTTTAATCCTCTGTAACCGCTCACCTCCTTCTCCGTCCTTCCATAAAGGAACATGTCAGCCTACGAGGTGTCGTCCTCCCAAGTGGTGCTGTCTCCTCAGCGCTCCAAGCGGGTGAAGGAGAACACGCCTCCACGCTGCGCCGTGCTACAGAACGGCTCGGCCTCCAACTGTCCGCCCACGCAGGGCTGCGGGGGCGGGGGGTGGGGGGCGAGCGAAGCGGAGCAGGCTTCCAGCACCACCCGCGACCATCAGCACCAGCACCACGTCCCCAGACAGACCATCATCATCCCCGACACTCCCAGCCCCGCGGTCAGCATCATCACCATCAGCAGCGACACGGACGAGGAAGACGACCACAAACAGAACAACAGGTCAGCGTCACGGGTCTGCTTTGGGTTTATGTGGTTCTGTTTAGCTCACTTACAGGCTCAGAAGTTTGCAGGGCTCGTCATGTTACTGTTGTTTATTTCTGATGGAAGATATTCACAGGCTTGTCATTTAAATATGAATATAAACACATCACAAAGAGCAGCAGTCTTAGATCAGCAGGATAAAGACAACAAAGAGCCTTTTCAGAAACATGGTGTGCATCTGCTTTCACTTAGCTGGATATAGATATGTTTCTGCCTTTGCCAGCGGGGCTAAAAATCCAACTTTCTATCATCTTATGTGTTCTTCCATTCGTTCAAAACAGTGCATACTGTATTACAGCCATTTTCAGTTATGTATCATCGTGTCTGTGTTAGCAGGAGGCTGATTATAAAACCGCATTTTAATGTAAACTCATAAAATGGTATTTGGCGAACCCAAGGCCAGTGGTGGTGTCTGGGATGTTAGCGTTTTCTGATGGTCTATCAAATTCTGACAACACCGTAATGATATGATATGATCACAAGTAGCATAACCACAGAATTACACCTAGAAAAAACAGATGAGATATACTTTTTCACATTATATCAGTGCATTTACTTATGGGGTCGATATTTGGCTGCAGGACAAATGATGAATGTTAGCGGTTGTTTAGTGCTCGTGAAATCTATCTGTCTATCTATCTATCTATCTATCTATCTATCTATCTATCTATCTATCTATCTATCTATCTATCTTTCTATCTATCTGGTTTGGCTTCCTCAGTAACAATCTTCTGTCATCCCTTTCTGTTTTTCCTCCAGTTCGTCTTCTAAGCAGAGAAAGAATGTCATCAGTTGTGTGACGGTCCACGACTCGCCGGACTCCGACTGTTCCAGCAACAACAGTCCCTACACCGTGGAGTCGAGACCCCCAAACAACAACAGCTACGACACAAAGACCACCATCCTGGACAACTACAACAACGGAAACCCCCGCACCATCATCATCCCCCCTCTCAAAACCCAGAACAGCGAGGTCCCGACCGAGTGCGAGCGCCTGATGCCAGGTAAATGACGGGTTCCTTCATAAAACGTGGCCTCTCGAATTAGCCGGCAGCTATTATGTGTTACATCTGCTTGTATCCTTTTACTCCACAGACGCAATGAACCATCAGAATTCAGCTTACAAGTTCAAATCCTCCAATGGAGTGGCATCTGGCAATAATCACATACCAGGGGGCGTAACTGGAGGCGGGTCCTACCGACAGCAGCGCTCAGGGCCACACCCCCTCCAGCAGCAGCCTCTCAATCTCAGCCAGGTACGATGTGACTGATCACTGTCAGGGTGTGACGGTCTGTCCATGAAGCATCACACCTCCAGACTGTCAGCTTTGTAGGGATAGTTTTCAAATAACAAATGAGCATTTTGAGAAATGTTAGTGTCGCCTGTTAGTTTAGCTTTGCACAATGCTAACAACACGGCTAGCCTGGCAGTGTCCAAAGGTAACGGTAACTAAATCTGTATCATCTCCTCATCCAGGCCCAGCAGCACATGGTAGCCGAGCGAAACGGAGGACATCGGCGCCAGCAGGCCTACATCACCCCCAACATCGCCACCCAAGCCCCGTACTCCTTCCATCACAACAGCCCCTCCCACACAGGCAACGTTCACCCGCACCTGGCTGCCACGCACCTGCCCAGCCAGCCACACCTCTACACCTACACAGCACCCGCTGCTCTGGGCTCCACCAGCACCGTGGCCCACCTGGTGGCATCGCAGGGCTCGGCGCGCCACGCGGTCCAGCACGGAAGCTACCCACCGAGCATCGTCCACCAAGTCCCGGTCAGCATGGGCCACCGCGTGCTGCCCTCGCCCACCCTGCACCACAGCCAGTACCAGGCCCAGTTCGCCCACCAGGCCTACATCAGCGCCTCGCCCGCCTCCACTGTCTACACTGGATACCCGCTGAGCCCCACCAAGGTCAACCAGTACCCTTACCTCTAGAGAAGACACTGACTGACACTGGAGAGCCTGACCCAGCGCTGCTGCTTGCCTCAACCCCACCCTGAGCCCCCATCCGACATCCTAAACATCCTCTCCTCAACCTCAGACATAAACAGAGACAGAGGAACATGCAATCCTCATGAAACTGTCACGTATAACTTGAAGATTTAACGACAGAGAGAAAAAGAAAAAATACGATTCACAGCCTCTCTAGAAGGGAAAGATGGGGGGTTGGATTTCAGAGGGGTACAGTTCAAGAAGTTTTCTTTTGATTTTTTCTTTTCTTTTCTTTCTTGAAAGGGCCAGTTTTTGCTTTTATTTGCCTGTTCTTTGCTTTATTTTATGAGGAAAACGACGTTTCATTAGTTTCACAGGGAAGTTTGAAGAAGGCCTTTCTGGGACAGTGGAGGTTTTCTCGTTTGGTTTCTTTTTGTTTCCCCTCTTATATTTGGGAAGTGACTGTTGAACAGGGGTTACTGACTGGAAGTCTGGAATCCCAAGAGATTTGGGAAAAGGTGAAATACGGAAACCTGCTGCTCTTCAAAGAAAAAAATATTGATGGCCTTGAACTGTCTTAGTATTTCCAAATCATTCGTGGTGTGGGGAGAAAACGAGAGGCAACTTCTCCCACTCCACCTCCTCCAGCAGAGGAGGCTTCTGGAAATATAACCAACAGAAGACAACAAACTTTTTAGTGTATTTATAGATATTTTCCTTTACGTTTCACCTTTCTGATGATACTTCAGTTTTAGCTAGGTGTCTTAGCTGGGCCCCGTTCTTAGAATGTAGCAGTCTGCACCTGTTTGTTTAAGAAGAAAACTTTTTTTCTCTCCCCTGATACCAATAGATTTATTTGTTCCTCCTTTTTTTCTTTTTTTTTTTTCAATGTGATTGCACAAAGTGGTTATAATAACATAGGCATGTACAACGTGATTGTCTGTGTGTGCTACTGTCAGCCATGCGTGTGTAGTCCACCTCCTCAAAACCCTCTGCAGTCTTTAGGTTTTGACCATTGTTCCCTCGTAGTGCCTTACAGATATAACAACACAGTTTACTTGGCTTGGATCCTGAAAGCCACAAGAGACTATAGCTATACTTAGAGAGTCATGTTTCCCTGGTTTGACATCCTAATCGGGGCAGTTGTAGCTCTCTTCCAGGTGTAGGCTCAGCCCTTGCTGTTCCTTGTCCTTAACGACAGCATACCATAGATGATGAAGATTAATGTCAGAGCTGGTATCACGCTGAGCTGTTTTATTATGTGTGCATGAGATAACTTGCCTGGGGTACTTACCAAAGTCATAGATAAATTCTTGTTACATTTGCGCTGGATATTAATGTAAATATGAAAAAAATGTACAGTATAGCTGTAGCTGTAAACCTCTATCACAGTGGCACCCAAAAAACAACAACGTGGCTTTAGTTTGGAGTGTATTTGTTTCTTTTAAACACACAAGGGAATAGGCGCTATCGCCATCGCGGAGCAAAGCTCAGTTTTCATGCACAAGGAATGCGTTACAGTATAAGACACAGTAGAGGTCGTTTTTTAAGGTTAAAAGCTAGTCCGAGAGAAGGGCCTGACAGGAAGTGATTGTTGCCGTGAGGGTGATTCTGTGAGGCTGGAGATAGCCTGGCTGCAGCAAAACAAACAGAAAAGAGCAGAGTAGAGAGGGCTGTTTGAGAGAGACACTGTGTAGGCATGAGTTAAGGGGCTGGTTGAAAGCGTAGGGTCAGTTTAGGAAGGGGCCGTGGAGGGCAGGGTGAAACTCACTATCTTAAATGGGACTAAAATGGTAGCAAGTTGGCAATGAGCAGGTTGATAGTAACACTGAGCCCAGGTTGTGGGTAGGAGCCGCGGGAGGCAGCGAGCGGGCACTGCATCACCCGAATGCACACTTAAAATTCTGACACCAATTCTTTTGTTGTCGTCGTTTGTTTCAATTGGAAGTTAATTAGTCGCGCTCGAGGTTTTTGTGTTTTTTTGGGGGGGGTAGCGTCTCGGAGCTGCAGGAACAGAACAGAAGGGAAATGCCGCAGCGTACACCTGGAAGGGCACCTTGTGGATGGTTTGTTGCCACTGTCCATTTGTCTTCGAACCAGGTACACCACAGACATCACCACGCCAGCCAGACGGGATACCTGAACACTTTAGAGAACCAATAGGGCTGTTGCTTTGTGTGTTTTGCTGCTTGATTTAACAGACTTCATTTTCTCGTAGCCGATGATAGAAATAATCTCCCCCTCTGTTCATTCGTCCTCCTGAACGTGGGCACATCAGAACTGCTGGTGGTTTTAGTGAAAGCCTTCCCTCTCCTTCATGCCATAGTACTTGCATTTGAAGTGATTTTTTTTTTCTTTTTTTTTTAACATTATCTTGAACTTTTTGGACATGGCTGTAGTACATGTTGTGTTTATTTTTTAGAGATTGTTGCAATAATTCTTGTGGATGTTTTATCAGAGTGTGTGTGTGTGTGTGTGTGTGTGTGTGTGTGTGTGTGTGTGTTTTTATTATATGTCAGGCTCATTTCTATTTTGTAACCTGGGGGTTGATGTACAGTAATATTTAGTATTCCGTGGAGGTGGGTGCACCTGTGTAAAGTGTTCCAACACTGCTGACGTGTTGAGTTGATGATAATCCACTGGGGCCCCCTTACAGACACACACTTGGCTCGAGGGTGCCTCCACACCCAGGTTTTGAACAGTCCTATGATGGGCCCCGGAGTGGTCTTTCATCCTGGTACTTTCCTCAAAAACTCTCCACTCCCCCCCCCATCAGCTCCAGCATGCAAGCCTCGGGTCCGGGCACTTAAAGATGTGATTACATAGTGTGTTGCTGGTTACATCATTCGTCTCTGTTCTGTTGTTGTCGTCTTTTTTTTTTTTTTTCTTTATAATTTTATTTGATGTACTTAATTTCCTCTGGGCCGCTGGGGCCTAAGCACACACGCATAAGGGAGATGATTTTCCATTGAAATCCTTTGACTCCTCTGTTATGAGACAAACTACTGAAACATTCCACTGTCTGAGGGAATCTGGCATTACCCATGCTACACTGCTGTCCCGTCCCCCCAGCCCTCCAGCCCCAGCTCTCGTCGGCACGGGGATGATGTTGTCACACTCTGACTCTTTTGCTCGTCCCACCAAAGAATTCTACCAGATCGACCGTGTACAGCACAGCACACCTACAGTACAAGCAATCCTCCGCCGCGTTGCTTGAGCAAGACAGGCAATAACTTCTGGTCTCATCTTTAACATGATATTTTTAAAAGTGCTTTTGAGGACATGTTGTTTTTACCACCATGATACACAATATACAAGTGCACAGGGCGGTTCTGGTTCACGTCATGCATACAGCTCAGTCATTCGATTCTGGACAGTTCAGCCATGAGAACAGCTGCAGTCTGTTTTAATTCCTGTTTTTGCTTTCATTACTCTTCACACTTTGCCCCTGCCTAGATTAAATCAGTATAATTATCTAACCTCTCTCCAAATCGTTTTATAAGCCAGTTTTTTTTTCTTCTGTTGTTGATGTTGTAGCTTTATTAGTGTTGTACGATTTGTAAAACAACAACAACAAAAAAAGGTTTGTTTCACAATAGCGTGCCATGGAACAGAACGACCTGTAAAAATGAATTAATCAAAAGAAAAACAACAGCTATACCTTTAAACCATGGTCACCTGCACAAAATGAATGTAATACGTGACCTGCGACATCTGGAAATGGCTTTAGCTCCGTCTCAGTGGGTGACCCTTAGTTTAATTTCTACACCGTTTGTGGCCACGCATGATGCAATAATTATACATTTGATCTCCAGGAAAATCCCATCTGAGACTAATAATGTAAAATTACCACTATCCTCATAATTAGGGGGGGATATCAAATAATCACTATTTTGTCGACTGAAACGAGCGGTTACCCAGAAGGCGCGACATCGTGGAAGATAACCTGACGTGTACGATACCTTTTGTCTCTCATTTGGTTTCACATAACCGACGTTTTGTGTTTTATACAAAAGAAAAAAGAAAAAAGGGGAATCAGAAATGTGAGCATTAATGTAGATCGAGTGACCTTACAATTACCAAAATGTGCTTAAGTAGAGTGTGAAGATGTTTCTGTGTCGCTGAGGTGAGTTTAGCCTTCCCAGCTAGCAACTTTATCGTTAAGTACTGCCTTCCAAATAACCAACAATACCTCCAAAGCTTTAAGGTGACATTTAAATTAGAGAAAACTAAAAAAAAAACAAAAAAAAAGGCAGCATCTCTTTCTCTCTCTCTCTGTCTCTCTCTGAAGCCTGGCATTCTCCTATGAAATACACTCAAACTTCCAGTGTTGCTCCCGGTGTTGTCGTGCGTACTCCTCGTCCTGGAGCTTCGGAAACGCTCAGAAACATTCCTGAGAGCGCGGCACAGTGCTACATTAGTCTTCTTCGAAACAAACTCCTCTAGGGTGACTTGAAGCTTAGTAAGTGAACAGACAACCTGCAACATCAAACCACACAACACTTGCACGGTAGAGAAATCGTTTGGCAAAGTCGCAGCTGCTTCCCAAAGTACAAAGACGTGGAGGACAGGTGTTCGGTGGATAAATCATGTGCTGATGAACTTTCTGTCACCAGGAAAATTCATGATCTAGTTACACAAGCATTCTTAAAGCCCTTTTGGATAAGAGTGTATGGTTTGTTTTTTTTTTGTTGTTTTCTTTTTTTTTCTTTTAAACCTTTGTTAAGGGGATCTGCTCCTTTTGCTGGCTATTCCTTGGGGGAATTCAGGGTGCGGTGGTCAAGGTTTGATGCCATCACTGATGGAGGGTGTCAGGTTATTGCAAAATACGAATTTAAAGAACCAAAACTGAAGCAAATATGATTTCCTGCCATCAGTAATTGGTATAATACGAAACAAGGATTGATTTCTGCCACCTGGTTTCTCTAAATTGTAATACTTGGGTCCCCTTTTCATAACATAAAAAGCTAACCACCAAGAAGATGTTTTTTGTGCCGATAATTGACTTAAAATCTGGATGTGGTCGATCAAAGCCAGATTTTATTGGTTACGCTGCAAAAAATATCCGTCTGAAGCTGGAGGTCACGTCAAAAATCACAATCCTCACAACGATAAGAGTAAATTAGTGAAGTTATTAAATAGCTACTCGCACAATACCGCTTATGAAAGCGATAATTAACATTTTCTAAAGACCTAAGAGTGCATCAAACCCTGACCCCCTTTCGTGTCCATTGCTGTATGGTTTCTCAATGGTGTAAAATCTCATTCTTTGTCGATAAAGCTAATGTGTGCTGCAGTATTTCCTAGTATACTTCTCCGTTAATTGTCTTTTCTTATTTACTTTTTGTTTATTGGGGTGTGATGTCTCATTATTTCGATCTGTTGATGTAGCGTTCTATGTATACCCTGTTCCTTAGCCTAATATTATTAAGTATGTTATGAGAATGGATATTTTACTGGCTTTATAGAATGTTTAAATAAATATAATAATGACAATAAGAAAAAGGATTAATTAAACCTCCTAACAAGTTGAGTACTTGCTACTAAGCGCTTGTGTTACCATTATGATGTTGTGTGCTTCTCTTAATCATTTTCGTTGTAGAAAAATGGAGTGAATTTATATTAGGCTTCGAAAAAACTAATGATAGCATTGTAAATTTTACAGGAGGATTTTAACAGACAAACAGCTTCGTCAAATAGAAGAATATAGTTATTTTAATTGTCCTCTTTACTAACTGTAGGGTGAGAAGGGGCTCGCGTTGTGGTGAACTATGTTATAGCTTGTTATTCACTGTTACTTTTGATCATTTTTTCGGTCTCCGAGGTGAATCGAGTTATTAATGAGAATTTGTATGCTCACATATGCATATTGTATATGTGTAGAAATGTAATCACACTTTGTCTTGGATTTACATTAAACTGTTAAGTCACGGCACCAGCGTCCTGTTTCCTCCTGTGTTGTGTCTGCTCGGGGTTCGTTGTGTGTCCACGGCGGAGAAGCTGCTGCAACAGCCAGATAACACAAATATGCAATATTAAGTAAATGTACTGCATTCTGTTACTCCAACATAGTAAACTGTTTTAGCTTCCATGAAGATTTAGCAAACTGTGGCATCAGTGCAGCAATTACTGCACTTTAGTCCCACATTAGGTTGAACAAAAATATCCCATTCTTCTCTGTTTGTCTGTGGCATCGTGCCGTTAGAATAAAGCTACGCTTCACTGTGGCCTTTCATGGCTGCAGGTCAAAGCACTGGTCACACTATTTGGTCATTGTCCTGTAAAGCCACGCCTCAGGAGGGTGTGAATTAACTCAGTGGATAAGAATTTGTCACCACATGACCAGCTCAAACACTTTTAGTGCACAATTGGCTTTAACTTTAACCCTTTTCTAACTCTACCAATTGAAATGAGATTATTTATTTTCTTCTTTGAGTGTGAAAACAAGACTGTTTGTATGCTACCTTTATATTTTTGGTCAGCGTCGGTCATCTGGAAGCAGGTTTTTCAGAACCATTCGTCACCTAAAATTCCCACATTGGCAAGTACACACCCTTCTGAAGTGGCCTTGGACAAGACACTGAATCCATAAGTCAAATAAAGTATATAACACAATATATAAATATGTGTATTTGAAAATAAAAATGCAAAATTAGTCGCATATTTATATCCATGGGGTACTGTGCAGATGTTTTAGGGAAAGCAAGGGTTTTAATTGTTAATTAACTTCACATAAAGTGTTGTAAACAGAAAAACATGAATTACATCAATATTTAATGAGACCTCCAGTTCTCCAGCCTCCCCCAGCATACTGTTATTCAAGCTAGATTTTTCAGAGCATCTTGCAGAACTGAGGCTGTCTCATCATCTTCTGATTCTTCATGATACCTCAGACATGTTGTGGAGATCAGGGCCCTTTGTCTGCAGAAGGTAGGTCTTCATTTAGTTGCTGCCATGCTTCAGGATGAATTTTTCCACCAATCAGATGCCTCCTGGATGATGCTGCATGATGGATCACAGCATCCTGTAAATAACAGACAAATGTTGCACCGTTCACCGTCCCAGGACTTTATTTCATTACACTAGCTGAGTAAATACTGGATAAAACATATTTAATGGGAATCAATGCAGCATAAAACCACTGAAATATGTTTTGTTAGTATAAGGAGTGCACGGTTTGCTAAAGGTTCTCAAGAAGTTCTAATAGCAAATCATTGAAACTGTTTCAGCATCCCTGCACTGCCACTAGGTGGCAGCATGCATCAATATGTTCACACAAACTGGCGCTGACGTGATTAGGTTATGCTGATCATCTCCATTTATTTTCAACCACAAAACCTTGATATGCACGGGTTTTTGTTCAGGCTCCACCAGCAGGCCACATGTCGGACAATAGAATCCATCTGAAGTGTGGAGCATTTGCAGAAATGTCAAAGCGAGCATCATTCTTGTTTCTTGTGCAACACGGCGCTTTAATAGGCTTATAACTGCTGATGAAACTGTTGATTAAATGGGATGTGAATGCACAGTCGGATTAGCACCCCCCCACAAAAAAAAAATCCACGCAGGAAGTACTGAGCTCGGTACCGGTGACTGGTTCAGTGTCACCAAAAGGTAAATACGCGAAAGTGTTCATGCGTGGATATACCTTGTTTAGTGCATCATCGCATGAGGCAACGTTGCCGTGGAAGCCGCAGACGCCAGCCGAGGAGGACCAACCTAGTTTTTAAAAGCCCCCGCTGACGGAGTGGCGCCTCAGCCAATCAGAGCGCGTCTCGCTAAATTAGAGGCTAATCAGATCTGCCAGGGGGCGGGGCTTAGCCGATCCTCATGACAAGAGAAGGTAACAGTTACCCAGAGTGTCAGATGAAATCCAGCTAGCAGGTCGTTCATACAACGTTTACACTGAAATAAGTCCGGAGGCAGACAGGTGGTTACCCGGAGATCCATGACAGAGCTTCGGAGAGCGTTTCTATACGTCCGGGGATATTTTGTGACAGAGGAACTGGCAGAGTTGGAGCTCCCGTTTTTTGGGGGTAAGTCTGCGCAGCTCCGAGCTGCTGACAGGAATGGCAGGAGCAAAGAAACATCGTCTTATCTAAGCTAGCTTTCACCAAACATCACCCAAGTGTGTGTTAGCTAAGCAGCCTCGTTAGCATTTATGTTTTAGCTGTTTCACTCAGACGGGAGATGCTTTGTCTTTAGCTTCACGGGGAGCCACATGACCGTTAAGCTAAACAAGTAACGGGACGGGATGTAGGACAAGAGACCGAGTCGGGATGAGACCCGCGGAGAGCAGCGGTGGAAGCTAGCAGACACAGCCGGGGGGTGAGCTCTGTGCTGGGCTCCGCTTTAGCCTGTGTGACCGCGTTAGGTGGAGAAAGTTGGGTCGTGTAGCTGATGGGGGAGCAGCCTCTGGTCCGTCTGGGTCTGACCAGTTATTAACATGAGCTCATAACGACCTGGAGCTGCGTGGACAAGAAGTAAACAAAAGATAAACCTGTCTGCACCCCTGATGCTGTTTAATTCAGCATGGAGTGGGTTTGTCCCTCATGTTCTGCATGTGGGATGAGATGCATGTTTTGTATGTGAAGGAATGCACGAAATCTATTTATTTTGACCACAGCAGGAACTTCCATGGAAGGCCCAGTGCAGAGAAAGAGCAAAATGTAGTCAATGAGTGGAAAATATTATTTTAAAAATATGTTGATTGTAGAAGAAAGATCTTCAAATTTGGCCTTTTTTTAATTATTGCATGTTTATGTTGAGTGCAATGAATGTAAACATTTAAAAAAAGGCTTTTAATCATCTGAATACTGAAGTTTTGTTCTGATTCCTTCCTCTCATGTCTGACCAGTGCAGCCATACTTCAGCAGTAAAAGCTTTGTTTTGAGTGTTCTTTGTTTTCTGCAGCTATTCTCCACTGAAGGACGTGTTATGGAAGGAGGAGCCTTAAAGTGAAGAAGAACAAACCAAGCGGCCCAGAATAACCTCCCAGAACCTCGGCTATCTCCACAGAATGAGTCTTCTCTCCTCGGCTGGGTGAAATGCCTTGACCCGACCCCCGCCTCGCCATGGCAGCTTTAGTCTCCACTGTGGGCTTGATGGTGATGCTCAAGGCTCTTATGCACAGCTGTCGCCGCCGTGCACTGTTTCTGGGGATAACGGTGTTGGTGACAGTGATCGCAGCTGACTCACCTGTTGCAGGTAAGAGAACACCTTTCGCTGACTCACACGACACGATCCACTCATTTACACTTGTGTTACATAAGTGACACTGATCAGGGTGTTGTACGACATTCACGTGGCTTTGAGGAGGAGCAATGACAAGCTGACTAAAGCATCCCATAATGTTCATCATTTTAGTATAAGAAAGGGGAAATTTATAAATGTTAGAAAGTGGATTTTTATGTTTATTGGTGTACTTGGATAAACGTGATCTAACTGAATAGCTGCATAAGCTGCTCTGAACTGACAGTAAACATCGATGCAGCGTGAGCCTGCTGACTTTGTATATGCAGCTGAATGAATTAATGGCATCCAAGATCCAAGCTGGGCGTAATCAAGATCTTTATCTTGATTTATTCGTTCCTGGTAATGGTTACTCTCCCTCATCCTGAGGATTGGGTTGGAGCGATATCTGAGCCATGTGTCTGTTCTCAGCCTCACATGTCCAGAGCAGGATCACAAAGAACAACATTTTACACGCCCTGTTTTTTCTTAAACATTTCATTAACGTAGGTTATGTTTGCTGCTCATGAATGCACATTTTCAGCCAAGCTCGACACAGTTATGCACAGTCACATCGAGGAGATGCTTAGCACAACTGCAGGCTTGTTTGTGGCCCTCTGAGCAGCTGCACTGGAGACGTTGGGGGTTATTATGTGACTTGCACAAGGCCAACTTAACCAGCAACCTTCCAGTCATGAGCTGTTTTTACTAATCTTAAGGCCACGGTCGCCAACTTTCTTATGCTAAGCTTTGCATCCTCTGAATAGTAAAAAGAAGAAATTACATTATTTAAATATTCTGTAAACCTAATAATGCATCTTGTGTTTTCTTTGCCTTTGGTGTGTTTGTAGTTATTTGTAGGAACAACAACGTCTCTGTCTGTGGGTTTACGTCGACATGATTTTAACGTGAGCAGTGTCCGGGGCAGTTGCTGGTCTGGGATAGTTGAGATAGTCATGATGTGTAATTAGGATTTGGTGGCGTGAAGTGGCTCCGTCCCCGCCGCCGCCGCACACCGACTCTCAAGTTAAACCAATTTCCAGTAATTAGAGAAAGAGAAAGGGTCTAAATCCGTCCACTTTATGGGTGTTTTCCGTGGGCTTAGTTTTATTGATAGTGGCATTATCCCACTTAACACCCTTACCCCTGCACACTGCCCAGTGAAAAGAACACGTTTTAAGGGCAGCCAGAAACTCATGATATTACGTGGTAATAGGATTATGTAGTAAATGCTGGGGGGGGAACCTTGTGCAGGAAATCAGGAATTAGTAGCTCATATGTTGACACGTCCACGCACTGCTTTTTTAATTATAACCATTTATGTGGTTAACTACACATCGTCTTCAGTTTCATTGATCATGTGTCAGATGTAGACCTGCTGCAGCCAACACACACTCTGAGCCATAAGTTAAGCAACTGATTTAAAATATTAATTCTTGTGTGTAACGTGTGCATTTGCTCATCAGTTGTGTTTCCTGAATAGTTTGATCTACTGGTGGAGATAAAGCTTGGTCAGATGTGCTCTGGTATTCAAACAGCTCTGGTTCTAAAGATGGCAGAAGTCTGTCTGTGTTTCCTTTTTGTTTTCAGTGAATATTTACTTTAAAATATTTTTAGTGTTCCGATTCCCACATTTTGTTTTCATGTGTCTGTTTTTCTGTGTTTCGGGCCAAACCTCTGTGAGATGTCCTGTGGCCTTCTCTCCCTGGTCTCCTTCTCATTTAGCTTGTAATTAAGATGTGGGCTGCTGTCAAATCCTGCATGCTCAGCTGAAGATATTCATTTAGCAAGTGGTTCAGTCTGTGTGTGTTTTACTTCCCTTCGTATTCAGTATTTTAATAGAAATGCTGTGTTTTCTTCGGGTGGATTTGGATCAGGGCTTTATCGGGCCTGTTCCATCTCTTATGGGTAGATATCTCTCACCGGATCACAGAGGCGTCCTGACGGTTCTGATGCTGAACTAAACGAAGCCCTGTGAGGATCATTTCACACAGCTCTCCTGTGGCCGACTGCAAACCGCTGCATCACATGTGAATGTATTAATCAGCCGTGGTTTGGACAGACTTCACACAACGACATACTGTTCTGAATTAGCTGCTTTTATTTTAGGCACTTTTCACTTTTGAATGAAACTTATTGCTCGATAATGGGAACATTAAGGGACACGCCTTCTGTATTAATTCACTTATTTGTTTAGAGCTATCGCTGCAGCATCGTGCAGAGCCTCTACAGGATCAGCAGGTATTGCAGTCTGTTGTTATAACTTTTGCGTTAGCTTGCACTCTTCTTTGCATCCCACCTGAACCGTGTGCTTGTCCAATCCAGTCACAATGTACTGACAGTTCAGCGAAGTGCTTTGCAGGTGGAGGAGCAGTGTTATGAGATTATGGGAGACATTATGCCTTTATTGCTCATTACATCTCTCCAAAGGAAGAACTGACAATATGCAGCCACCGACTGTGAGCACAGCTGCTCTGTGCTGGCTGAAGCTGTAAGTAAGGATGAGGCTGACTATGTGATGACGTGAGGCCACGGCACAGGTCAGGAGGAGCAGTCGGCTCGCTGCAGCGCTCGTCCAGCACAATCCTTGTTGCTCACACACTCCTGCATGTAGCTCGTGTTTCGCCGGTATTTCACAGCTACAATCACAACAACCGAGGCACAGCCATGCACAAAAGCCAACGCTATGTCACCCCGTGGCTATAGTTGTAATCACAGCCTACTTACAGCCTGTGTCATCAGTTTTTTCAGTGAGATGCGAGTTACCTCGTGCTAGTTATCTGTGTAGTGCAGTGGCTGTGATGCCGGAACCACCCAGAGCTGAGGATGCACTCGGTGTTGTCTGCTGCATAACACACACTCAGCCTTTATCTGTGGAATGCAACATTTATTGTAAGGGATGTTTTGCCACGTAACTCAAACTGAGAAGAAAAATTTCCACCATGGCTTTTTGGGCGCTCTGTGGAAGCCAAACAGAAGCTTGGAAAAATACTTAAACATTGAAAAGAATAATAAAATGTCAGAACTGAGCAGTAGGAGCTTGTTGTGCAGCAGGAGTCTAACAGGTCTGACTAGTATCACAGCAGCAGGATGCATTTGTACATTATAGTCGGTGTAAAACACAAATACGTGCTCCTGCTGCGGTGCCACATCGTCAGGTTATTGCAGCGTGGGATTTTAAGAACCAGAACTGAGTCAAATATGATTTCCTGCCATCATCAGTTATTGATTTGTATGAAACCCTCCAAGGATGTGGATCAGCTGCCTGATTTTTCTGTAATATCTAGCAAAGAAGAGTTATTTTTGTAGTTTTAATAAATGTTCAAGAAGAAAACTTTCTAGCGCTCACTTGCCCACATATAACGTGCTCATTATCCTCCACTGAGAAGTAAAATATTAGATAGAAGTTGGTCATGAACGGCTGTGCTTGTATGTGATTTAGCTTCACACGTGTCCATCCTCTTTATGTGTTGCTGTACACTTCGCTCTGCAGCAGGATGACAGCTGAGTTTCCAGCGTCTGTGTCGACACTTAAACCACCAGTTATACAACTTTCTCTCCACCAGAGTCAGAAAAGCACCGTATAGTTTCTAGGTCACTCGGAGCACGGCGACCTGCGTCTAATTGTTCCTCCAGACCCACCGTCTCGCAGTAATTTCCCGTTTACATCACACAGATTTTCTCGTTCACTCCCCTACTTACTCCTGTCCTCTGCTCAGGTTCTGCTTTCCACATGTTTTGATCTAAAATGAAAAAAAAAATCTTTACAAATATATATAACTTTTTTATGCAATGCCATAAAACGCGCTTGAAATGTTACCTCGGCCGTCTCCCTCCCTCTCAGCCTTTCTCTCTGTGCGCCGCAGTGGCTGGCGAGTGGAGCACAGCGAGCTGCAGGCCAGCGAAGTCCTGTCTAATTACCAGCGCAGTCCGTTTCCATGTGAAATGCGATCTGTGTGGGATGACAATATGGCCATTCATTATTCATTAGAGCTGGAAGCCACTCGCAGATCAATGGGTAGAACCTATCAAAAGCCAAACACTGGGTCCTTCTGCTCTCACCAGGCCTGCAGTCGGAGCAGAATGATCCATTGGAAAGCGGCCAGTGACTGACCCGGCCCGTCTATTGACTGGCCCGGCCCGGTATTATCTGGCTCCGGTGAGAGCAGTGGAAGTTGCTCTGCTGGTTGGTTAATGAGAGCAGATCGACACACTTTTTAAAAACGGCTTTTCACTGCTACCTGACAGTCACATGGTGTTTTCTGATATCACCTTCACAGTTTTTATACCGTCAGCTCCTCCACAATCGGCTGCAGTCTCATTTACGTAATCTTTTCCAGAAGGCCGCTATTACCTGGTTGTAGGTTGTGATGTGAAGGTACCAGAGTGGGGGCCTGTGAACTTACATCTGTTAGTGATTTTCTGTACCCTGTTTTGTGTTTAAGGCGAGTTTCCACTGCAGCTTCAGCATCCAACGAGTAGAAATATTGTTTTAGAACAACAATCTTATTTATTCAGGAACAGAAACACCTTGGTAGGGTTTTTATTGTTTGTGGGGTTTTGTTTGTTTTTAATGTGTACCATACTTGCAGCATATTATTTATTATATATTGTTTTATATGGATTCGCTTTACATTATGTGATCAGCTGCATAGTATTTATTGAATGCAGTGACCACAGATAGCGTTACGTTTTCTCCCTTTCACTATTCCTTATCTCACTCGTTTGGATTTCAGCTAAATAAATACTCTGGTCGTTGTTGACGCTGCTGCTGCTGGACTCACTCTGGTCTGACCACTAACAGTCCTGCTGGTACACAAACGGACCGCTGTGAGCCGGTATTTATTACAAATACATGGCCCTGACTCTGCTTACGGTTCCTTATGCTAACAACCTGTCAGCGTTTCGAGCTTGAAATGTGCAATGCAATGTTCATGATCTGACAGAAGGCAACGCTGAGGCCATATTGCGCCGAG